CTGCTTCGCTATTCTATATCTTTCACCATTTTCATTAGTCCTATCCTTGTATAAGGCTTTAAAACATTCTTTCTTAGCCTTCACCTTTGTTTGTACCTCCTCATTCCACCACCAAGATTCCTTTTGGTGTGGAGCAAAGCCCTTGGACTCTCCTAATACCTCTTTTGCTACGTTTCAGATACAACTAGCCATGGAATCCCACTTTTGGCTAGCTTCCCTTTCTCTCTCCCACACGCATTGGGTGATTACTTTCTCTTTGAAAATGGCTTGTTTTTCTCCTTTTAGATTTCACCATCTAGTCCTTGGGCACTTCCAGGTCTTGTTCTTTTTTTTTCTCTCTTTTGATATGTACATCCATCACCAACAAGGGATATTGATTGGCTAAGCTCTCTCCCGGTATAACTTTGCAATCCTTACAAGTTATATGATCCCCTTTCCTCATTAGAAGAAAATCTATTTGTGTTTTTGCCGACCCACTCTTGTAGGTGATCACATTTTCTTCTCTCTTCTTAAAGAAAATGTTGGCTAAGAAGAGATCATATGCCATTGTAAAATCCAAGATGGCTTCCCCATCCTCGTTTCTCTCCCCAAAACCATGGCCACCATGAAAACCTCCATAGTTGCCTGTCTCCTTACCCACGTGTCCATTTCAATCTCCTCCTATAAATACCTTCTCCATCTGAGCAATTCCTTGCAACAAGTCTCTAAGATCTTCCCAAAATTTCTCCTTGAAACTAGTGTCCAACCCTACTTGAGGTGCGTACGCACTAATCATATTGATGAGTTCTTGTCCTATTACAATCTTGATTGCCATGATTCTATCTCCTACCCTTTTGACATCTACAACATCTTGTGTCAAGGTCTTATCCACGATGATGCCAACACCTTTTAACATTCTATTTGTGCCTGAATACCAAAGTTTAAAACCTGAGTTTTCTAGATCTTTTGCCTTAAGACCAACCTACTTAGTTTCTTGTAGGCACATAATACTTATCTTTCTCCTCACCATAACTTCAACTACTTCCATAGATTTTCCCGTTAAGGTTCCTATATTCCACGTTCCTAAACGCATTCTACTCTCTTGAACTCTACCCTTAATGTCCTAGCTTCTTCACCATCCCTCGTCTAATAGGATCAAAGCACTTCTTTTGTGTGTCTTGTGTAAAGTTGATAGGAGCATATGCTTCCAAACATCTTTGAGTGGAGTCGTTCAAAAATAAGTTTCTATGACCCCCTTGCGCATTTAACATTGCATCTGGGTGCCGATAGAGATACAACAACCCTTACTCATTTATCACTGTGCTCGGGCCACACAGCGCTCCACTTATGGGTGACGCCCTAGCTTTAGCGTGATTTCGTTCTGGATTCATTTTCATAAGGATTTGACGTAACCTAGGAGTGCCGGCTATCGACTACCTGACGCCCTACCCCTCCTCCTTTATCCGGGCTTGAGACTGGCAATGTAAGATAAACTTACACAAACGGAGTTAAGCAATGTTCTACGCTAATTCATCTAAATTTTTTTAGTGCCATTTGAACTTACGTTCAAATAGAGAAGTACATTGCTCTTGATAACTTGGTTAAACTTAGGTGTGCAACACATTCTATGTCAAGTTTACTAAGAATGAAGGAAACTTTTGCTTTACATGCCTATCTAATCTAGGATCGTTCATGGTGAAAAGTTTATTCTTGGTCATAGGGTTTTGACACACGTATCATTTTTTCTTTGGGGATCTAACCTATCCCTCGAAAGGCGCCAATTGTTCTTCTTGTGCTTTGGTCTTCTCCTTGGTTTTCTGGGATTAAACCTAATACAAATGGTTTGTCTAAAGGAAATCCTGGTCCTGCTGCTTGTGGAGGAGTTTTCACAAATTGTCATGGCAATTTCTGCCAAGGGCTAGGTCATCGCAACTCTTTCATTGCATAATTATCAACAATTATTATTGGTGTAGAGTTTGTATATCAACTGAGTTGACATTGTCTTTGGTTGGAAATTGACTCTTTTAGTGTTATTTCTGCTCTCCAATCGTCTGATTTTGATCCTCATTGGCATCTTTGTACACAATGGTCTATTTGTTTGGATCACATTCAGAATATGACTTTCTACTCTTCTCACATATATCGCGAGCGAAATGTTGTTGCAGGCAATTTTGCTAACATGGGTTTGTCTTCTCCAACTTTGGTATGGCACGATTCTCCTCCAGTGGCATCTCATGATGCTTTGTTTTCAAACTATATTGGCCTTCTTGGCTTCCGCTTTTCAAATTAATGTGCATCACGACATACATGTTTGTCTGACTTTCTTATTTTCTTTACTTAACCAGTTATGTTGCTTAATCTGTTTTGCAGGTTTAGACCTTTATGTTTGGCTTTAGAAGTGTTAGGTTTTATGTCCCCCCCCTTTCCCTATATCATTATTGTTTTCATTTCTAGAAGGGTAAGGTTTATGTCCCCCCTTTTTTTTTCATGTATTTTTTTAATCTTTTTTTTTTCTTGTACTACGAGAGATTAGATTTATGTTTCTCTGACTAGTGTAATTTCTTGTTTTCATTATCAATAAAATTCTCTCGTACCGTCAAAATTTTAAAATAATAATAATAATAATAAAATTCCCCACGTTCTACGAGCAACAATTACTTTTGGAGACATCAGCTAGATAGTGCTCGGTAGGTCAGATGGCAACTAGTATGCGGCTTGGGATGCTTCTTGACGAAAACACCTATTGGCAACTACTCATGCCAATGTTTATACTTATATTTGGCACCTTATAGCATGATTATCATCTTGAATTGACTATAGCATTGAACGAGGAAATTAGTTGCAAATTTGAAGATTGAGTGAAATATATTTTGATTTTGTAGCGGAAAGAAATCAATGCTCAAGAGGCAATTAAGAGAAAGACATCAAGAATGGATGCTATCGCTACTGTAAATAAGATTCTCTAACTGATAGTTAGTGATCCTCGACCACACATTTATAACTTATCTTTTTAGTTTCTCTACACCCCACGTGCTTTGATCTTATTTTTGTATTAAAAATGTATCCCTAATTAGATTGTATTTCATATTAATCTTTAATTCCCACAAATTATTTTTTTACAGTTAGAATAATTTATATTTTACCGCAATTTATTTTCTCACAATTTACTTTTTTGAAATTTATTTTCTTGCAATTTATTTTCTCGGATTTTTTTATCACAATACATTATTGTAACGTAATTACTTATCAATTCGATCCATTCGACAAGTTCAATTGGGTTGGTGCGATTCACCTCCTCATGCATACATTATTAGCATCTCAATCACCAAACTTGCTTCCATCCATCCATTCACTAATTATGTCAGCACGAACAACACCCATCTCAACCTACAAAAAAGTTCTTAGGAATCCACCGTTGTTGTTTTTCCTTTTTTTAGTCGATTATTTTCAAATATAACTCTCGACATTCTTGAGAATTTTCTTCGTGTTGGAGCTCAAAGTATCCTCCTATACCACACGTGAATTTAGAGGAAACTAATTAATATTGAAGGCCATAACAACTTTACAACCCAGAAGCAAGTCTGATCCATTTATAAAACCAGGCGCATGAAGCATTCTATTGTCCACACTATCTGTTATCCACTATCTCCATTCAACAGTAGAAAGGCAGTAACCCAAAGCTCAAACAAGAAAACAAATATTCCAAAAACAAAGTAACAAGCAAACAACGTTGAGGAAGCCCATTTTACAGAAAGAAGATGGTATACTTTTAAAACAAGCTATCGTCACTGGGTGATAAAAAAATACATTTTTATACAACTCAATCGGATACTATATACGAGAAAAACGATACGTTAGTAGTAATATATTGTCGTAATGTCATACGTCTATTTAAATTAACACTAGAATGCATTTGTGATTCATTATTTAGGTAGGATATAAATATAATAAATACATGTGTGTTATAATTTGAATGAACTCGAAGCACCATGTGAACTTGCCATGCATGGACATTAATTTCTCCAATTTACCTTTTATTGACTTGTAATAAAGTTGAAGAAAGAAAAGTAAGAGATATGTAGAAGTAGAAGGGTTTATTAAGGGGCCCAACATTCTTTCTTTCAAGTAAAATCATGATAAGGGGAAGAAAGATGGATTACAACGTCTCGTTGTTTTGTCACTTACTATTACAGTTTAGTAATTTTCTCGACTTGCTGTATATCAGTTAACAAGTAACATGCCGTTTTGCTTTCATGACTTGTAAGATATTTGCCAAGTCTTGTAATGCCATTTAATGATATAATATTCTCATAGATGGCGACGTCGCCCACATGTCGATTAGCCACTTATTTGATAAGAGGGAAAGGGATCCTCTCCGGATCCCTTCCATCAAATCCACCCAATCAATCAATCCGGGTTCTTGAAATTTGATCCAACGGTTACATACAGGGAACCCTTTTAAAAGTTATAATAACTTTAACTGTTGGATCAAATTTCAAAGACCCGAATTAGGTGATTGGGTGAATTTGGTGGAAGTGATCACTTTCCTGATAAGAGTACAGACGAAAGTGAGTAATGCAGGGAATAATCAAACAACGTGTCATTTAGTTTTACCAATAGTTGAATTATGGGTCACTATTGTTCCTTTCTTTTGTCTGGCCAAAACCCATTCTGCCCTTATCCAAGTCTTCACCTTACAATTTTTTTTTTCTTTCAATTTTATGTCCTGCAATGTAAGTTTAATTTTAAGGTAACTGTATAGTTTATTTATTAAAAATTAATCAAATAAAAAATCGTTTAGTTATTTAATTGTTATAAGCAATGCGAGCGAATTTAGTGTTTTAATTGAACTTTGAATTTTTCTATATTAAACAAATCACTGATTGATTTATAATTTTAAAATTTGAGTGTAAAGTGTTTATTTATGAGTTGAAGGATGAGAGTTTAGTTCTTAACATCCTATCTTCTGATTTTTCTTGTTGCCATAGATTAGACATTAATCTAGGAATATACGTTCTGAATTTCTATATAGACAGATTCAATAAAATCTGCTCATAAGTTTAGTTAAACATATAAACTCACCAACACATTTAGCCACAATGTCTACAAACATCAAATGCAAAATGGGACACTACATAAGGAAGGAACAAAATAAATCACACATTCTTACGACATAAAGATTCTGCTTTATCACTAGGTGCATATCCGATGACACACAAGATTTTCTCGTTACAATGACACACGAACCGAAAGAAGTTAAAAGAAAATAATAAATAAAAAGAGGTCGTTGCACCACCTAGAGGAAGTTCTTCACTGTATTTGTCCATTCCATATTGGAGTTTGCATTCTTCTAATTACCCTATGCCTAGTCTTATGCTTTGGGCCAAGCATAATTATTGGAATGGATGAGTTGTTAGTACCTATTTCTATGTGCCTGCAAAACCCAAAAAATGTTTAAACCTGATCAGATATTAGATTTGAAGATTTATCAAATATTATGATTTTAGGTTGAGCAATACTCACTTCATATGCAACAAGAGATCTGCAGTAATCGGTGTCTGTGAGCACTGTACTGCCGGAGCCACACTCACTTTCTTTGAGTGAAACTGTGGACCTATCAAGCTTGGTATACCAAGGGTATTGATAACCCTGAGCAGTTGAACTCACATGAGAAGATGACCTCTGCATCCTCACAGCCCTTGGGATGTTCCTTCCCTCCATTGAAGCCCTCCGCTGCCGGCTTGGCGGCCTCTCAACTGTATCAATAGGCCTTTGCTTCGGTGCACTCTGCCATCGGGCTTTCGCCCTTGAAGATAGTGTGTTGGCCATGTAGTTTGGGAACCAAGGGTAGTCATAGGACAAGGGCTCTCCATAATCCGGCCTAGGGAAGGCGAAAGGAGCTTTTGAGGGATCAATTTTGGACATGGCAGAATAGCACTGAGGCCTGCCTTGAGCTGTTCCAAAAGAGTAGTCCTCAAAATGTGCACTGCAGGCTCCCGGGCTCCTATCAGTCAACGTTGATGGAGCCGGAGAGGCCTGCTGGTAGGTTTCTTGGTTTGAGTATGCTTGATTTGGTGCATACTGAGTTGAAAATCTATGTTGTTCTGTTCTCTCTGTTTGCGAGTGATTTGAATAGCTGCTCCTTCTGCTCTTCAAAATTCCTTTTGATTCACCAAGATCCATCTCCACAGTCTTAATGTTCTCTTCAATTCCTCTGGCCATTTCCTACATTTATAAATAACCACATCGCAAAACATTAGTCTAATGAGAAATTTATGCAATAAGAGAAACAACACTGAAATTCGAAGCTAAACTCAGTTGGTTAAGAGCGTTTACCCATGCACTTGCAGTTCTGATTCTATCATTTGTATCATGAAACAATAAAATCAAAACAAAACAAAGAGCATTGAGTTGGATCATTGAATTTACGTTATACGTATGCCTGGACCGGTTTTCCTGTAAAGATCTTCTGGGGGTGGAATGTCTAGGATTGACAGTATTTTTGTCTTCGACCATCCGGATCCTCTGAGCTCGAGCTCGAGCCTGAGCGGTCACCAATGCCTGCATGTACCTTAGAGTAGCTTTGGCCTGTTTTCTCACCAGGTGACCCCTCACCAATGCCTGCAACTTCACTAGTCCTTTCAACGCACACAGTGCTTTTCTTGCCTGTAACAAATCCAATGCAATAGTACTCATTTCATTTTCTCGACATTTGATCATTTACAGTACCTAAAAAGAGTCAGAGCATCCAACGCAAAATCAATTGGAAATAAAAGCAGAGTCCTAGAACCGCCAGATGGAATTTAAATTCTCAACATCAATAGGGAATCAAGAGTTGCATACCAAATATGAACGGAAGACGGATTGAATTTTTATTGCAGCTGCTTCTTCACTTGCACCGGCCTTCTCGTTGGCAGCTGCTGTTAGCCGCAGCACAGCAGCTGCGGCTTGTGCAGCAACCACAGCCGCATCAGCAACCGCTGCTGTAGCTGCCGCCATAGCCATGGCATGCTTTTTCTGCTCATAATTCTCAGACTCCAATGTGCTCATGCATACAGGTGGTGGTGTGGCCGGCACTGCATCTACACAATTGGAGTCCTTTGGAGCAGCTGCTGTGGCTGATGATCTTCTGAAACTCCATCTCTTCTTCTCTTTTGGCGTTGTCTCTGAAGAATTGGAAATTGGACTGGTGAGATTTTCATGACTTGCAACTGAAGAATTCTGATTTGTGGGGTTTTTTTCCTTGTCTTTCTTCCCTGTCAGGATGCTTTTAATCCATTTGCCTGTCTTTCCCATCTCTGTTAGCTCTCGTTGTTCTTCTAAGCTGCCATTGATTGACCAACAACGTAGAATGAAGAAAGCAACAAATGAGAAATTATAGGCAGATGAGATAGATCTCTTCTTTGATATGTAGCTTTCAACAGTGTAGTTAGAAGACACCAGTTAATTGCTAATCTCCCTTAAACAGGTTGGGGAAGCTGCCCAGTAGGCTAGTAGCAGTTTATCTCATGGAACATATACAATTGGCGGAGATTCCTTGCCTTTCATTTCAGATATATTATAAGCTAGTAACCTTTTTTTTTTTCCTTGAGGTAATTCTGATTTTGACATCACCATAGATATTATTAGATTTCCGTATCGTTAGGCACTCGTATATATTTAGTGGTTTGTTTGTTTGTTTGTTTTTTTTTTTTGGGGGGGGGGGGGGGGGAATTGTTCAACTTCTAAACGAACATGTTGATTGATGCCAATGTTTTTGAGCGAGCATGTCGACAAATGCCAACATATGCCGATAACACCGTAAACAAAGACATGAGACAAGCAGCCACATAGGCAATTCGTCGAGCAGTTAGATGATAACTTTCAAGGGCATCTTAGATTTTTAAAAGGAAAAACCCAGCTCTTTCATGAAAGATTTCTAAGTTTAAGAGTTTAGTTGACCCACCTTACCTCAATAAATCAATTCCTAATAATATGTTATTTTATGATTTATTCAATTCAAAACACTTAACATCCGAAGAAAAAAGGTACATGTAAATTTCTTCCCATCATGTATAGTCATCAAGGAAATAACATATATAGAATGGGACGGATCAGAAAGCATGTGAAAATAGGTCGAGCCGAGGCAGCATCCTTGTAAAAAACTCATTTTTCTTCTTCTTTTTAAACGGGGGTGTGTCCACTCGGAGGTTCATGATTGGGTATCTGATTTTTATAAATAAATTTGATAGGGCCATACGCGGGGTGTGGGTTCCACGTACGAAGTGTTGTGAGTTAAGGGGGTTCTGGTTTTATCACGTGCTCGTGCAAAATCCCAGCCGTTGGAGTTTTTGCTACGGTTTTCTATTCTTTTGGTCCATCCCAAGTGAAAGTGGAGAGCTGAGCTATGAATCTGTGATTGTGAGAAGGTTAGATTTTGATTCCAAAACCACCCACCAAGTATGCGTCCTATTGACTTTATGCTTGATATATATAATACTAAGATTATAGGTAGTGGCGGATCTAGAATTCTTACATCGGGTGGTCCTAATTAAGGTAAGCGAGGTGCTAAGCACTAATCAAATGGTAGACTTACGCCTAGCGCCTATATGCCTAGACGGTCTTAGGCGGATTTAAGTAAAATTTTATATATCATAGATTTATACAAACGGGTGTGTAAACTTGTATTTTAGTGAATTTGATGGTATGAGATGACAGTTCAAGTGATTACAATTTCGTAGTACCTTATGAAATATTTTTCTTATGTCTTATGAATAAATAGGGAATTTAAAGGAAATGACAGTGTCAGACATATAGTATAAAAAGTATTGGTAGAGTAATACATCATCTTATATTAATTAAAATGCTAAGTGGCACAATCCCATTAGACAAAATTAAAAAAGAAAAAGAAAATGGGGAGTTGGTTACGTGTGAAATGGAGAAAGAAAGTTATTTTCTCTTTCTTCTTCGTTCAAGCCAAAGTCGAAGAACAATAGAGCCATGTTGGTCTTCTGTTTGTTCATTTTCGTATGAAATTAGATTTTTTTTTTTGTTCAAAACTTTTATTGCACATCATCTACATAGTCATAGTGGTCTTCCTTCTTCCACCACCTACCTAAACCGTTGGATAACAACGTGTCAATCCTAGCAAATCCTACAACGTTTATCTCTAGCAATGATTATTTGGTCATAAAGAATGCTATGTATAGTGTTGAACATAAGGAAGTTTTTTTTTGCTGGAAAAACCCACATTCGGGTTAAAAAAATAGGGGACTCTCCACTGAGTCCAATCCACTAGTATATTCAAGGTTCATACAAAGACCACACAAGTTCAATTCTTAGATCCCTATCTACATAGTAGCTTTACCTTTGTGCAACATTGCCTTACACGAGATGAATTCCTTCGGACTTCATGAAGTGGCAGCTCCTCCTGAGCTTTTCACCTTGTGGCACCGATATAGTGTTGTCTCCAGTCATCACAAGATGACAGCTCCTCCTGAACTCTTGACCTAAACAGAAATAAAAAACATAAAAACAATGCTACCCTAATATGCAATGATGTGGGTATTTAGTGCATGAGTGTGATTTTGTGGCTTGGGTTTTCAAGTAAGAACACAAGAGGTAACTCAAAACTAAAATCAACTCTTTTCTAAAAAAGTAAAACTCCTAGCCAAAACAAATGAGCATATGAAACGAATTTAAGCAAGCAAATTCAAAGATAGGTTTAGAAATATTCAATGAAGAACACTACCCATAAAATATGCTTGATGCTCCTAAGAGATCTGAGATGGAGATAAAGAATAAAGCTTTCAAAAATTTCCGATCTCAAACCCCAAAAACAAATGAACCCTAGATTAGCTTTTAAAGAGGGCTTGATGTTCTGACAAAAAGAGGACCATAAAAGCCACGTGTCAGGTGCAAAATCAATCTGGAATGATCTAACGCTGAAAATCCATTTTCGAGAAAAGGCTATAAGAAAGCCCATGTGTGTTGTCTTAAAGTGTGTGCCTAGCTCACGTGAAAGTAACGAGAAGTTTTGACTAGACAGAACCACTAGATATAATGAACTGGAAATAATGGCATGAAATGCATATGAATGAACAAACCTTTGATGAGAGAAGTTAAGCTCTTGAAATGATATTTCCAGCATCATGATCCCAATGTAGTATTTTAACCCTAAAACTAACTAGAGCATGTGTGGTACCATTTACAACAATTGACAAGGGAAGCCAAACAATAAATCTAAACTTCACAATCTCCTCATTTGGCTTTCCTTGACAAAATAACCCAAACTCTATAACTAAATTCATTCAACCTCACTTAAGAGAACACAAAGGACGAATCTTGCAAAAAAGAACTCTTGACAAAGAACAAGTGAAAATTTATCATGGTTAAAGCAATTGCAAGGAAGTAAATTGTTTAGCATATTGTACATGATTGCAACACAACACAAATTTTCAAATTTGCATTTTTCTCCCCCATTTTGTCATGGCAAAGACAAACGATGTTAAATGAATGATATGCCAATTTCATTAAACACAATAAATGTATATGTCAAGTAAGCTCAACAATGAAATATCCAACCACAAATGAAGTATATAAGAGCCAACAACAATGGAGTTTAAGCACAAGGTACAATTCTCAGTACCAAAATAATAAAAGCACAAGAGCATGTCAATGTAATCAGTTCAAAGCACCCATTTGTTCAAGAAAATCAACAACAGCGAAACCAAGAGTAGCACAACAAAGTCAGCAAAGGAGAGTTTCAAATACAAATAAAACACAACTGTCAAAAAGTAACGTAATAGATATTGAACTCGCCTAAGATTAGTACTCTCCTATGATACTAACTCTCAACTACTCATTCCTCCATAAGCAATACCTCAATGACTTTCAAGTTAAAACGCATGAGAGAAACAAAATTACATAACTCCAAAGAATAGAACTCGTCGTCAGAGATAGTCACCCAACGCAAACTAACTCGAGATTAGCACAAACAAAGTTCAACAAAAGAGAGGTTCAAAAACAACAAAGCCAAAATAGGTCAAGTTTATTTGAACACCTCCATAATTAACACTATCCTAGACACAAACTCCCTCATAAACCTAGAAGTCTACAAACTAAGTGGCGGCACTAGATCGGAAATGCCCAAATTTGCAGCAAATACACAATGCAAGGATAGCAAAAACACAACGCATAACAAAGAGTAATACATCATATGAGTACGCCCAAGCAAAGTGTAGTAACAATTAAGCATAGGTAAGTGAACCAACTCCCCACAAAGGATGCATGTGGTATAATTGAACTCTCCCATAAATGTTGCTCTTCATATAAACAAACTCCCTTAGAAGCCAAGAACACGGTTTGAAACAAGCACCAATAGTGAAAACCTTAAAAGATTTCACTTTTTTTTTTTTTTTACGAGGGACAATGACATAGCAAAAAGGAAGATGTCCAATTACAAATGGTTTTGTGCAAAAACATAAAGCAATGTACTCAAACAGTGGGGTCCTATTAGGCTTGACTATGGTAGGCTTTTATGTCATAGTGACAAGTGAACAACGTTGAGGGGTGTATACTAGCAACGGAGGTGAAAGTGAAACCCTAGAGATGTTAGAGAAGATAAATGCCTAGGATACTGTGAAGAGATTTGAACCAGAAGGGACATGAATTGGTTGGGATGAGGAAGTTAAAAACATAAAGATCATTGACAAAAATACCCTCAATATTTTTCACTTTTCTAACGAGAACCAGTGACTTGACAGAAGAGAAAATTGTCCATTTAAAAACAGTTTTTTGCATGAGCTCAAATCAAAGTATACAACCAATTGGGACACCGTTCAGAAGTAAAAAAGATCATAAAAGATAGTCATAAGCTTAGCACCAATAAACTACAGCTAACAAGACAAACCACAAAGGAAATTAATGAAGAAATAGCCAGTGGCGAAGCTACAGAGGGACTGGGAGGGGCGGCCGCCCCTCCCCTCTCCGGAAATTAAGCTCAGGAGCGTGGTTCCGCTCCTCTGGTGTCGTCGGAATTAATGGATGCACCGGCACTGCAGATCAGTTTCTGGGCTTGAGTTTCTACTGCTGCTATGCAGCAGCTTATGTTATTCTTTTTTTTCAAATCTCTTAAATGAAACGGTTCGTTTCATTTTGTATTAAAAAAAAAAAAACCTCCTTAATCAAACGATGCTGTTTCGTTTAATTGATTAAAAAATAAATAAAAGTTTTAAAGGGGACCACTGTCCCGTGGCTTCCATTATTCAAATCACTCCTCACCCAAATCCCAGCAACAGTTTTCAGCGCCCTCCTCCCTTCGTTCCGTTCCGTTGTCCCATATCCTTCAAGCCAAGCCAGCCGCCACTGCCTGCTAGCCTTTAGCAGCCAACTGTTGGTTGGTTTTCCACTTCTCTCTCAATCTTAGGTAAATTTTTTAACTTTCTAATTTGTATTATCCCTAACCCTAATTGATTAATTAATACGAAATTTTAGTTAATTAATATAGAATCATAGAGTAATACACTAATTAATTTTTGATTTTTGTGTATAAATATGAATCCTATGAATGATTATTGATGAATGAAAATTATGAAAATATTGTCTA